AAAAAAAGGAGGCAATAACAAGAAACTGAAAAGTTTAAGAAAAAAAAAATCAAGTAAAGAAAGCAGGTGAGACCATAGCTCAAAGAGAAGTGAATACAAGATTTCATCTGATTGAGAGAAGCAAGCACAGCACAGCACAGCAATCTTTACAGATGGGAAACTAGAGACTTGCCTACAACCCTTTGCAAGAAACAGAGGTAATATGAAGATAGTCTGTCTAAGCTTAAAGACACTCTCATTGAGAAGTCAGGCTTCTTCTTCTTCTTTTAAATTTTTTTTTAAGTTGTAGATGGACACGATACCTTTATGTGAGGATTGAACCCGTGCTTCACACATGTGAGGCAAGTGCTCTACGATTGAGCCACAACCCCAGCCCAAGAAGCTATTTATAAGGTTAAATCACCAAAATCACCATCTTTTAGTTTCCACCTGCAATTCCAATTCCTTTCTTCAACAGAATCCTAAATCCCAGTGTTCAAACTCTGGCAGATAAAAGCAATGTATTTAAAGGGGGGAAAGTTCATCATGTAGAAGAACATCTGTTATGGTATCTCCCAGAATTCATCATGAAATAGCATTTGAAATCCTAACCCTTTACACCTTAGAGTATGACTGTCTTTGGAGACAGGGTCTTTAAAGGAGTAACTAAATTAAAATGAGATCTTTAAGATGGGTCCTAATCCAATATATCTGGTGTCAAAATATGAAAAGGAAATAAGGTTCAGAGGGAAAAATCATGTGAAGACACAAGGAGAAAATGCCATCCTGCAGGTCAAGGACAAAAGCCTTAGAAGACACCCACCCTTGATCACAGACTTCCAGCCTGCAGAACTAAGAAATTATTTTCTGTTGTTGAAGCTACTCAGTATGGGGTACTTTGTTTTGGCAGTTCTAGCAAACTAATACACCTTCCTACTAACATTAGCTGTCACAGAATCAGAGGACATATGCATCTGCTGAGAATACAAACATAAAAAAAGTTTCTTTCTAGAAATAAAGACCAAACCCTGAAGTAAAAAGTGAGTTAGTGGCTCCTTCTCTGCTTTTAAAACAATCTGACCAGGTTGGTGGTGACTCTCGGCCTTATCACACACTAAGCTGTCTTCCCTAACACACTCTCAGTTCCTACAGAGCAGGGACTGTCAACCATCCATTTTGCTTTCTCTGCCATGTGGCATCACACTCAACACACAATAGGATCTACACGTACATATACTGCTTTTTACTACTGCTGAATAAACAACAACAAAAGGTTTACTTGAGAAAAATAAGAGACTTCTTCCCCTCTTGCATTTTAATTTAGGCCACTGAACAAAGATTTGAACTGATCCAGGTTTCTTCAAACTGTTCACTTATCCCTACTCAGGCTAAGGCACCATGGGATGAAGCAGTCAAACAGGACCATTTCATGCTGCCATCCTGGAAATGGATTTTTACTTCATATATTGCCACAGTATTCCTCTAAAACCTCCTATGGATCCATTATGTCATCTGTGTACATTCTGGAGCAGTTACAATAATAATGCAAAGTCCCACAGAAATAAGATTTTTAAAATGTTATGTAGTTACAGTGAATATGCAGTAAACACTTCACCAAAGTGAATAACAGTCCTTTACCATTTTAAAGGAAAGAGAAAAATACCAAATGGGGTTAATTCACATTATGGACTAATGGCCTGTAAACTTTCGTTTGAAAGCAAAGCGCAGAAAAAGCTTTGACAGAGCTACTTTTCACTGTAAAAATAAATAAACCTCTTTCAAATAATTTGTACATGATTTTTCCAAGTCAAATTGCTAACTTTCAAACAAAAATTAAAACCACCATCCAGTTACAACCCTTAAAATATGGGCTTTATAATGGAAATGGTAAAACAATCTTAGCGAAGGAAATGTTGCTAGGGTACTGACAGTAAAGGAGAGTCTACAGTAAATACTTCACACTCTAGTTACAGGGCACTTGTTGACAGACAATACTTATATTCCACTCTTAATGATATAACTCTGTGTAACAACTATCACTTTTCACAGGACTTCTGCTGTTAATGTCTACTGGTGTTCTGGCCTTGGTCCAAATTGAATAAATATATTTGCCTTCTGGTTCCCACAGATTTTAAATTCATTTTTATAGCATGTTTCTCTTGAAGAGCAAATCAGAAGAGAAAATTTCATTCTAACTTTTAAAGGGACAAGTGATTTTATATATACTAATTTAAATGTATGGATTTCCTCTCTATTAATTGTTCTCTGCACTACAGGCTGCACATCAGAATTACCTAGGAATATTTTCTAAAAGTTATACCTTCCTAAAATTTCACGTCTCACCTTCAGAAATAGAATATGTGGGCACAGGAACCATGCCCCAAGAAACTCTTGGGAGGCAGCTTATAACATATCATGTGTTAGGAAACTTCTGCTCATGGGTCACTGGTAAGCATGACCCAGAGTTTCAGTTTAAATCCCACTGCTAACAAATACCATAATACCAATTAGCATCACTGTAGGATCTGAAAATGCCCTGAGCACATAAATATCAGCTAACTGGCTCCTTCCTAAACTATAACTTAAGAATAATAAATAAACAAGAGGAAGTTTAAAGAAAAGTTTCAACAGTTAAAATTCAATAAATAAAAGGGCTCTCAGAACATTTCATGAAGTTCCTTCTGTCAGACACATACATTTTGTACTCTTCTTTTTTAAAAATTTCCTTTAGCCTTCTGACACATAAAAGAACTTGTCAATAATTCTCTTAGTACCATTTTTTTTTGCCCTAACTGCTGGGTAGTGTAAACAACAAAAAAATGTGTCCCCATTCTTAAACACACTGCAAAATGGGACTACAATAAACCGAGTATACGGATCCTGACAATACTTCTCCTCTTTTGCCAAGCAAGAAGCTTCTAAGTGGCCACTATATTCCCTCCCATTGTCCCAGGAAGCAATCTATACCCCTCAATGTTCTCCAAGAAGGCAGAATAAGTTCACAGTGACTTTCCAGATCACTCCTCTCTCTCCATGACTCCAAGAGTCACCAGACTTTTTGAAAACTGCTCTTCACAAAAGACTGATTCACTTCCCAAAAAGGAATTTTGGAGCTATATGGAGGAGGATTCTATCCCCTTGGAGTCTAAAAACATCTAGAGAATAACCTAAGATGGCCATATTCAGAAAGGAGTCATGGGAGAGCAGGTTCTAATATACTGATACCCAGAAGGACATAACTGGCCCAATAGAAACACACAATGCTTCCATACTTAATTTTTCAACTCATGACCACCTTTAAGGAAAGGCTTTTGGGGGCTAAAGAAAAACGTCCATTGATGATGTTCCAAATAAATATAGGCTAGATGTTAGCCATGCATGGAAATTCTAAAACCTAGTTATTAATGGACATAAGGAATTTCTTTTCTATATAAATTTTACTAATTCATGGAAAATACACTGTGAAGATAGCCCATCTTTGTTGAACATCTAAGGATAAGATACTAATATCCAAACCAAGTCCTGTGTCAGCTGTAAAATATTTTATATCTAAGGACAGAAAAACCAAGTTAGTAAAGGCAATTTAAGAAATAATTTCTAGCCTATCTTGGAGATAGAAAAACTGAAGTCAATTATGATTGGAATTGAAAACAGTGCGACCAAATCAAGGGCAGCATGGGGATTGTTATGTGAGGAAATACAGCAATATTTGGAGGTTTTTATATGCGGTTGAGGTTGCCTCCAGCCTTAATACCGACCAACAAAATGTTGAATTGATATTCACTGACAAACAACATAAACACTCTGTAGGTAACTAATAAGAAAAATGTGTAAATTTGCCTTTTTTATTTTTTACAGGTAATAGAAAAGTTGTCAATGTGATTTTCAGGTAGGAGAAAAAACATGCACTTGTCATGACATTTTCAAATACTTTAAGTTATGTAATAAAGCTTTTCCCAGACCCATTAAGTCCCACGGTGCCTGTAAGTCTTGTATAAGGAAACGCCAAGTGCAGAGGGTTCCAGGCAGCATCTGATCATATGGGCTGAGGCACCTATATACTCTCTTAGGATGGAGTCAATAAAAGAACTCCACCCCATCCCTCTCTTTCAAAATGAACCTAGGCTTTTAGTGAACAGCAGAGACACACTCCAGGTCTATTTTTTTTTTGTGGTAATATCTGGTTTTTGTAGGCCCAATGATCACGTTGCCTATGCTTACTTTATTACAATTACTAAACTCTATAGAAAATAGCATTTTCAAAATATAGCATTAACGAGTCCTTTTTGTACCGTTCCTCCTCCAAAGCCTTGCTTTAATAGAGAACAATGTGAGACAGGCTGTGGGGGCCAAAGCTGGGGATTCCTATGCCACCGCCCCTCATGCAGGAGATCCCTCTGTTCACACAGGCCCCCACAACCTACTTCCGAGACAGCAATGTGATGCTGCGTGAACAGCCTGACACAGTAGGTCTGGCTTTTATGATGCAAATTTCCACTTTAAACTCAAAGGTAATTACAGTATTTTAACGTACCTTTCTCATGATCGGTAATAAGTTTCTCCAGTGCATAGTCCACATCAAAAATGTACCGGTAAAAGCACAGCTGGGTGTACAGGGACTTGTCAGAATACTGCAATATAACAGAAAATACATGAATACTACTATTGGGGGGGG